CCCTGCTGCAGTGCCATCACCTCGAGGTGATGTGAGGGACAGGGCATATGCCATCGCAGCCGCTGCGTCTGGGTGGGAAGTCCTGCAGGGCGTGCGCGCCCGCTAATGTACTCCAGATGGGCATTCAGGGACTGGAACAAACGTGTTCGAGAGCAGCAAGCCGCCGGGCAGCACAATCACAGGGCCTGTCCTGATGGATGGCCACGATGTGCACGTGAATCTCCCTCCGGCAACATAGATGGGCACCCTAAGAGCATTCAAGTACCAAACTGTGCGTGATCAAGCCTTCCTACCTTGGGTCGGAGAGTCTGCGAGCAAGTCCGGCCTGTAAACACAGCGTGGGAGGGCCGGGATGTCTCGGGCAGGACTTCACAGGCCGCGGAGACTGCACAGGGTCGAAATAATGAGGATAGGGAGGTCTTTTCGCCCGTAAATAGGCAGGGAGCCAGGGGTGTTCATGGGGAGGAAAGCGCGGGACTTGTATTGTGCAAGGTTTTCGGCTGCTAGAATGCATGAAATGACGAACTGCCGGCGAACAAGAGCTGCAAGGGACCCACAAGGCAGGAAACCCGCGGCTCCCGGCTCGTGTGCACAGGGAGGCGGGCACGTTGCGTTGCCGCCGCCAGCGTGCCGCCGCTGCCTCAAGGCTAGTGCACAGGCGCGGCCAAGGTAGCAATGGATCTGCCCTCCTGCTCACCAGCTGCTTAACCAGGATGTCTAGCCTGCTCACCTTGCAATGCATCAGAAACCATCGCAGTCGAAGCTTGAACGGCAGCCAGGCGCCGCCCTCTGTACAATGTCAGCCGGGGCGCAGCAACCGCGGGTGTGATGAGAGGTCACATCGCTGCTCGTCCATCCCATCCAGGGATTGGCCGCTCGCTGAGCACAAAGTATTGCCCATCCAGCCTCCTGAACTCTCAGGCAGCCAGCATGGTGGGCAGGGTGCGGCCCAGCACGCCGCCCAGGGCGGTGGTGGGGGGCTGGGTGAGCGTCACCCAGGTGTCCAGCCAGGGGCTGTTGGTGCGGCGGTGCTTGACCGGCTGGCTGATGCGGATGCGCAGGCCGGGCTGCTCTATTGTGACGGTGTGGTTCATGCCCGGCTGCAGCCAGGGCAGGGGGAGCAGGGCAGGCAGCGTGAGGAGCTAAAGGAGACCTGATAGGAGTCAATTGCCCTCTACTTGCAAGCGTCCTGCCGGCAGCGGCTGTAAGCCGGCTGGTCAGCTGGCAGGCAGCAGCGCAGCCCAGGGCAGTACTCACCAGGGGGTCACTGAAGCGCAGCCTCCCGCCCTTGATTTTTTTCCAGCTGCCGGGCCGCACCACCTTGCTGTTGACGCGGACTGCGAAGCAGGAGGCAGCGAGAACACAGCGGGGCAGCAGCGGCGTCAGATAGCCAGCGTGCCCACGGGACAGCTCTCATCCCGCTGCTGCTTCCAGCAAAAGTGTCAGCCTGGCAGTTGCCGGCGACCTCCCAACCACCAGGCTCACCCTGCATTTGATTGGACTGCAGGATCGTTACACCAATGCGGTCCCTCCATTCAAACACCATGCGCCGCATAACGCTGGCCTTCTGCAGCAGCGGCGGCAGGCAGCAGGCAGGTTCGCAACAATGCTCCAAGCCGTTGCTGGCTGGGTGCCCCAACCCTAGCTAGCTGGCAGCCGCCTGCAGGTGTACTGTGTGATAACACAGATGCTGCCCTGGCTTACTGCATTGGGCCGCCGTGCCAGCAAGGCAGTGAAGGCGTAATCAGGGGATGACAGAATCTGCAGCGGAAGCAGGCAGCAGTAGGCAAGAAGAGCTGTCGAGTGCATGTGCCACACATGCCGCTGCGTGCCACCCCCGGCCAGCAGGGCGCACCTTGAGCTCTTTGCCGGCAGATGTGGCACGGACCTGCTCCTCATTGAAGCCTCGCACCAGCAGGTCACCCATCACTGCAGCACCAACTCCAAGAAGGGTTGGCCACAGGGGCATGCATTGGGATGGAGTAGGGGAGGTGGGCAGGCACTGGCGCTGCAGGCAGCCAGCTCCGGGCCTCACAGCTGCCGATCAGGGGGGCAGTCAGCTTGAGGATGGCGGCGTCAATCCACTTCCGCACAGCAGCCACATCAGTGAACACGTCTGCAGCGGCAGGCATGAGGTTTCACCAGTGGTTTGTGGCCGTGTGGTGTTGAATGTGAGGGCGCGGCGCTGATGGTTGTGGGGCCAGCACCCTGCCGCTGGCTGCCGCACTTGCTGCTCATGGTCGTACCCGTGGCAGGGCTTCCGGCAGCGGGCAGGCAACGCACCAGGGCTGATGTTGGCACATTGGCCGCTGGGGAAGCGCGTCCAGCTGGTGATGCCGACTTGCAAATCCTGCGCCGCCCCGGCACCCCGCACGATCAGCGGGCCGCCAGAGTCGCCGTGGCACATGCCTGACACGGGCCGCCGCGTCCCTGCAGGCCACCGCAGCAGAAGGGTCAGGCGGCAGCCTCAAACACGACCACATCCACCACCCATCTATCCCTGCACACCCATCGAACCACAAGCACTCACCTGCTGCACAGATCATTGTGTTTGTGAAGAAGTCGAAGGGAACAGAGGCGTAGCTAAACCCTGTGGGGCTCAGCTGCTTCTGGCACACCCTCAGCGGCAGCAGCGACATCTCCAGCTGCAGCACAGGGCCCCACAGCACCCAGCCTCAGACACTTTGGCGGTGCTGTGTGGCTAGCGTGAGGGCAGCACTGCGTGCGCCAGCGCCTCCGTCCTTCCTTCCATTCATTCATGCACTCATTCATGCATGGCAGCCCCACTCGCCATCTGGAGCTCGTTGGCTGAGGTGGGCGGGCTGCCGCCACCTAGTTCCTTGAGAGCGCCCCACCCAAGTAAGGTTGCAACAGAATAGTTTGGAAGGCCCAGAGGGAGGCTGGGCTTGGCTGCATAGCAGAGGGTGTACTGGCGATCAAGTTACAGACCACAGCAGCGAATGCTGCAGCACTCGCACGTTAACAGCCGGCCAGCCCCGTCGGCAATGCGCGCAAGTCGGCTGCTGCCCGCTTGCGCTGCTGCCAGCCACTACGCCCGCCACCCAACAACAATCACCCACCCTTGTAGGGCGCCAGCCCCACCGTTGGCATAGTGCTGGGCGTGTCCAGCAGCAGCAGCGCCACATCGTTGTTCATGTGGTCCGCATTCAGCTTATGGTTGAACCGCCGGTTCCACACAACCCTGACCGCCCGCCGCTCCTCAAAGTCCGAGGGCGAGTCGCTGTCCTGGGCGTAGCCGCCGAGGCGTACCTGCACAGGCGGTACAGCGGTACATCATGCAGTACGGCAGTCCAGTCAGCTGCAGTAGAGCGGCACACCAGCGCCTGCAGCCAGACGCGTGTATGCAGCTGGGGCCAGCCTGGCAGCGAGGCGCACCTTGGGCAGGGACTGCTCGCGTGTGTACGGCTTGCCGGTGAACTCGTCGACCACGCACTGCACAAGCAGGGGGTGGGGCAGGCAGCGTCAGCCAGGGGTGGTGCCTGGCTGGTGCCTCCTGTGATTACAAGCAGCCAAGCAGGTCAGCCAGCCAAGCAGGCCAGCCACTTGCATGTGCGGCGGTGAGGACGACGGAGCGTGTGATGAGCGAGCCTGCAGGTAGCGGGGCGGCCAGCGGTGGTTTGTCCGGGCCACAGCATGCATTGGTTGTGACAGGGCAGGTGGATGCAGGCGGCGGCAGCTCCCAACCGTACCTGTGCAGAAGTGCTCTCCATACTCCCTGTTGTAAAGCATGTTGGCAACATACCGAAACCTGCAACCATGTGTAGCCATGCAATCCTCTCGGCCGCCTCACATCTAGCAGCAGCAGCAACTAGAGGCGCCCGCACTTGCCTGCCCTTGGGAGCATCTTTGCCGTTGTGGATGGCGCCATTCACGCCGTCGTCACCCAGCGCGCGCCTGAGGCACGGCAGCAGGCACCCAGCGGTGAACAACAGTGGCCGTCAGGGTGGCAGCAGCACAGGCGGCGAGCAGTGAGTGGCCATACAGCCCCAGTCCCCCTCACCTGTCTGCGGCGGCAGAGGCGAGGACGGTTACTGCCAGCAGCGGGAGCATGAAAAGGGGGCGTTGCATGGCCATCAAGCGGGCACGCCTGCTGCCGTGTGTGCGGCTGGCAGCGCGAGGGCGGCCAGGACCCAATGCCTTACTTTGGCTGCTTGTCAGTGCACCATTCTGCAGCCAATGCGAAGCGTGAAGCTGTCAACAGGGCAGACAACTGTCAACAGTGCAGGGATCCCTGGCCGCTAGGAGTCGCCTGCCGCCTGCCGCTGCCGCCGCCAGAGAGAGCCCTGACCCCGAGCAGCCCCCACGGTCGTTATTGTCCGCATTCGATACCTCTCCTGCCGCAGGGCGGTCTTGCGAGGCTGCTGGCCAACTCTTACCCGGTGAAGAGAAGGCAACCGACTCCACTCCGAGGTTTAGGCCCCGCCGGAACACCAATCTGACAGCAATGGCTTGATGCAGACCGCTGGGGCCCGGCCTGCAGCCGCTTTGTGGCGGGAGCTGGAAGCCGAGGCGAGGTTGCTGAGATGATCAGAGAGAACGAACCCACTTGCATCTAGCTTTGCGATGCACAGATCGGCATGAATCGAACCGGCCGGTTGCGCCCCGAGAAATGATGCATGCAGTTTGCTTCCTGCTTTCCCCGCCGACAGCCGGCTCCAGCTGAGGGCAGAGCCTTCCCCCACTCTGGTACCTCTGTGCTCCAGTTGTGATTGGTTGGGATTACACCCAAAATCATGCCTGACAAGCGATGGTTGGATCCCACGGGATCAAAAAATTCTCGCAGAGTTGCTCCCATTGGTGGCGGGTGAGCGCACGGCGCAAAACGCAGAGGGCATACATATTGGCAGGTAGCGCTACATCAAACAAATGGGGTGATTCGAGAGGGGCAAGTGATGGGAACAAAATGGGGAGGGTGCATGTGTGTTGTGCGGGTCGTGGGGCGCAAGCAGCGCATCGTGAGATGCGGTGGGCGAGCACCCCTCGCTCAGGTGGTCAGGTTTGGCCCAGCGGCGGATGCTCATGATGGGTCAGGGAGGCCGCATGCGCGGGCGCGTCAGAAGGAGGCAGTACAGAAAAATAGGCAAGGACAAGACTCCGAGACCAGGGCAGAGGCAGGGAAAGACTGATGGCGTTGCTGGGGAGCCCCTGCGCAGCCGGAATGGCGGCAGGCACACGGCGGCGACGCTCGTGTGTGGCGCAGGCTCGGGCGGCGCCTGCGATACGCAGCGGTACAGGTTGCAGCACAGCTCAAGTCGCGTGCTGCTGCACCAGGCGGTACAGCTCGTCGTGGCTGTGCCACACGTGGACCGCCGCCGCCACGCGGCGCACGCCGGGGTCGGCCGCCGCCGCCGCCGCGCGCTGCGCGATCAGGCGCTCCAGGTCGTGGCCGGCGCGGGCCAGTACCACGTCCTGCGGGCCCAGCCCCAGGCAGGGGCACAGGTCGTTGGCGCCGTCGCCGCAGTAGACGACGCGGCGGGCGCGCGGCGCCGAGGCGCGCAGCGCTGCCAGCTCAGCGCCCTGCAGCGATGGCGGCAGAGGGGCGGGGCCGGCGAGCATCAGCATGTGACCCGGCGAGCGCTCGCACAACCACCACCGCCACCACCAGCAGCAGCAGGTGTGCATGCAGGGCTGCGGCGGCAGGGAGGAAACCGCTCCGCATGGGTACTTGGGCGCCCGCAGGCGGCCGCACCTTGCACAGGTTGGCGGGGCACAGGCTGCAGCCGTGGCTGCCGCACGCGCGGTGGTCGTGCCGCGGCTCGATGACGAGGCGATGAGCCACGGCCGGCGCCGCGGGCGGCTTGCCCGCGCCGGCGCTGGTGCTGGAGCTGAGGCCGGACCCCGAGGAGGAGCGGAAGAGCCAGCCGGAGCCAAAGCCAGAGGGCACGCGGGGCGGCCGGGCCGCCGCCGCGGGCACCGCGGGCTCCACCACGGCGCCGCCGCCGCCGTCGCCGTCGTCGGCGGCAGCAGAGGCGGGCGGCGGGGGCGCCACGCGCTGGAAGGAGGCCTGGTTGGTGATGACGTGGCGCACGAGGGTGTTGAGGCGGGCCCCGGTCAGGATGTGGCTGATGAACACGGAGTTGCAATCGCTCAGCACCACAGTCTCCATGCCGCGCCGCGCCGACCACTGCAGGCCGGGGCGCAGGAGGGTGGGTGAGCGCGGGCCTGGACGGATGGGGGTGTGGTGTGCGGCACCAGGCCGGGCAGCGCGCGCGGCATGCACGGCTGACACGGGGCAGCACGGCGTGGCGGGGCATCGCCGCCGCCGAGGCGCGCACCTGCAGCATGCGCTGCACCGCCAGCGGCACCTCACGCCCCATCTCGCGCAGGCAGGACACGAGGCGGTCGCGGGACACGCCGCGCCGCTGCATCTCGCTCAGCACGCTGCGGAGGCAGGCAGGGACGGTCGGTCGGTGGGTCGGTCGGTGAGCGGTAAGCGGGGAGTGGGAGTGGTTCAAGCGACGTCGAGTAAAGCGGGGGCAAGGTCAACTCTAGCCAAGGTTCAGCTGCTGCTGCCAGGCAAGGCACGCAGCATGGCGCTGCCCTGCTGCCCCCCCTGCCCTGCTCACGTGTTGGTGACGGGCACAAAGTTGGCGGGCATCTGCAGGCTGCTGAGCAGCGAGGTGAGCTCCGGGGCCAGCTCATCACACAGCCGCTCGCCTGCAGGCAGCCGGCGACAAAGAAGCAGGTCGGTCGCACCGCAGGAGAAGCAAACTCCCATTCCAAGCTGGCCAGGCGCCTGCTTCCAGGCGCAGCGGGGCCGGTGGCCGTGGCCACGCCTGCCCAGCAGCAGGAGCGAGCTCCAAACACCCCTCCAGCATCATTCAAGCACCGCTCCCCTGCCAGCGGGACGCTGGCCCGCTCACCCGCATCAAAGTCCACCAGCGTGCGGTCAAAGTCGCACACCAGCAGGGTGCCCTCGTACGGGTTGCGCCGCAGCATCTCTGCCGCGCACACGTCGGCAGAGGCGGCGGGGCAGGGCGCGGGCGCCGCCGGGAGCGAAGCGCCGCTCACCCCCGTCTTCAGCTGCGGCAGCGAGGCGTTGCGGTGCATGGCGTGGCGCGACGGCGTCAGGCCTTGCGCCTGGAACCATCTGCGGAGGGTGGCAGGCAGGCGGGCAGGCGCAGGCGCTGCTGTGTGAGAGGCAGGCGGGGGCGCGGTCCCCTGCTGCTACGCCGCTCGCTCTCTGCCAGCCCCCAAACACACAAACGCACACACACACACACAGACCGCCGCTCACTTCTGCATGTTGAAGCGGCGCGCCAGCGGCACCGTCACGTCGGCGCAGCCGTGCAGCGACTCGAGCAGCGGCGCCACCGCCTCGGGCAGCATGCGGTCGTCCATGTCTCCGCGGAACTGCAGGGAGGGTGGAGGTAGCAGAGGCTGTGTGTGTGTGTGTGCGTGTGCGTGTGCGCGGCGGGGATTGCGTGGTGGGTGTGGAGCAGGAACCGCCCGGCAGCAGACCATGCAGAGCGGCGCGGCGTGGCGCGATGCACGGCCCAGAATGCAGCCGGCTCCAGGCCTGGCACGCCCGGCCACGGAACGGAGCCACATACACCCACGGCTGGACAAACAAAATGCCGCAGACCGGCGCCCCTAACCTGCAGCACGGGCACGCCGTGGTCTGGCTGGCGGAAGAAGGCCAGCGGGGTGTCGTCCACGAGCACGCACCGGCCCAGGTCTCGCCCCAGCCGGGACATATCCTGGTTGGAGAGGGAGAGGGAGAGGGCGGCAGGTTGCGGGGCGGGGTGGGTGGCCTGTTACGCGGGCGCCGCACGGTTCCAGAGGCGGCAGCAGAAAGCAGAAAGCAGAGCCACATGGCGATGGCAGCGCTGCTGAGGGGAGCAGGTCGGCGACGCCAGCAGACAGCGCGCCCAGCATGGCAGGCCCGCCGGCAGCCCCGCCGCCGCCGCCCCCCCACCGCACCTTGATGCAGGGGTACACGTCCTCGGCCACGGTGGCGGTACGGTACAGGCGGTGGTGGAAAGCGCCGGGGTACCGCGCCTCTATGGCATCGCAGATGGGGGCCGCATAGTCCTTCAGCCCCGCAGTGAACAGCACCACCTGCCGGCGAGGAGGCAGTGGGTTGGGGGTGAGATGAGGACTGTGGGGATCCGGGGATGCGAGGGCAGGGAGGCAAGCAGCCTCGCCGACCCGACCCCACCAGCCCTGCCAGATACAGGCCGCACCAGGCGGCAGGATACAGGCGGCAGGCGGCGGAAGCGGCCGGCGCAGGCGCCGAGAGGCGCCCGTGCCAGCCCTTGCCCAGCCCACCTCTGAGAAGGGTGCGATGCGGCGCAGGAAGTCGCCCAGGCCTGGCCGCTCCACCACAAAGACGCCGTTCGGGTTGAGCTTGCCGCCGCGGCCCACGACATACGAGACTGCGGGTTGGGGTGGGTGTTAGGGAGGAGCAGTTAGAGGTGCAGCCAGGGCGATGGTTTGGGAGTAGGCGCGGGATGGAGAGGTGTGCGAACACACGGCAGCGGCAGCAGGCAGGCGACGCGCGGCCGCGCTCACTTGAGCCCGGGGGCAGCATGGGGGCGCGCTTGGGCGTGAAGGTGGTGACTAGGGTACCATCCAGGTCCAGGCAAACCACCAGGCGCCCGCGGTGCTCCGGCCGCTGCGGCGGCAGCAGCGCCGGCTCAAACGCCACGGCCAGCGGCGCCACCACCACCAGCTCTGGACCCAGGGGCGCCGCCGACGCCACCGCTGCTGCTGCTCCCGGCGGCACGTCTGAGGCCTCAGCCTCCTCTGCTACGGCCACGGCGGCTGCTGCTTCGGCCAGCTCACTAGCCTCAGCCAGGCTGATGGTTGTGGCAGAGGGCTTGGCATCGACCAGCATGTCCTCGCTCTGCGCCGCCGCGGCCGCCAAGCCGGCGCCCGCGATGGCGATCGGCGCGCTGCTGCTCCTGCCGCCGGGCGCGAGGCTCTCCGTGCTGCTGCCGCTAGGCGTGGGGATGCCGCTGCCGCTGCCGGGGTGGCCGCTGCTGCTGCTGGCGGTGCTACTGGCGCGTGTGAGGGGGATGGCGACTGCGCCTTGCTGGCGCTGCAGCTTCTGCAGGAAGGCATCCAGGTGTGGATCCACCTGCAGCCGGTCCAGGTTGAGCAGCTGGGCCTTGCGGCACACCGCGCAGTCAAAGGTGGCGCACGCGTCGCCCTGGTCGTCCTCCCAGCCGCTGTCACCCTCCCAGGCCGTCTGGGCGAGGGCCTGCTGCTGCTGCTGCTGCTGCTGCTGCTGCGTCTGCTGCGTCTGCTGCGCCTGCTGCACCTTGGCGCCGGGCTTGGCGCCGGGGGCGGCCGAGCGCGCCGCCGCGCAGTGCGCCAGCAGGCAGCCCCAGCAGAAGCGGTGGGCGCAGGTGAGGAGGACGGGGGAGCGCAGCAGGTCCAGGCAGATGGGGCACTGATACTCCTGGATGACCTCCGCCGCGGGCGGCTGCCGCGGAGCCAGCTCCTGCGGGAGAGTCGCAGGGCCGCAGGCACACAGGGACCATCAGCGAGGCGAGGGCCAGGACGCAGGCGAACGACAGCAGGCGGCCCGGCGCGGGCGAGCGAGGCGTGGCGAGAGGCCGAGCAGCAGCGCAGCGGGCAGCAGCAGGCGGCGGCAGGCAGCGCCACCAGCGGCGGCCGCGTGCCTGTGCCAGGATCTCGGCCTGGGTGGTCAGAGCAGCCAGCTTGGGGGAGGTGAAGAAGTACTGCTGGCTGAGGATGTGCACCGCCCGCACCACCACCACCCGCGCCTCGCCGCACGCCGCCTGCGGCAATGGAGGAGCGTGGATGTGGGGCCCCGCCACGCAATGGCTTCGCTTCTGGGCCTCCCGCCCCGCCAGGCATGCACGTCCCTTGTCACTTCGCAGCTGGGCTGTCTGCCCCGCTGCTTGGCTGTCTGCGCGCACATACACGAGCAGACACGCGCGCACACGAGCACACACCCGCAGCAGCACAGCAGGCCAACAGCTGCCTGCACCTGGAGGTGGCGGTTGCGCTTCTTGGCGGCCTTGACCACGGCATAGTGGTTGAGCACCGCAAACCTGCGCAGGTCTTGCAGCTCGGAGCGCAGCGCGGCCACCTGGCACGGGCTGGAGGCGAGCGACAGGCGGGCCATGGCCGCCGCCAGCTCCTCCTCTTTTTCCACGTAGAAGGCGGCCACCTTCTGCAGCTCCACGCGCAGCGCCGCGTCGAAGCGCGGCCCCCGAGGGTCTGCGGGGAGGCGGGGAGACGGCGGCGGGGCAGCGCGGGGCGGCGGGGGAGCAAGCAGGTGAGCGCCGGGGCCGGGGGGCTGCGTGGTGCGACTGCAGGCGGTGGGTGGCAGGCTGGGGCGGGGCGGCGGCTGCGGCTGGGGCCGCCCCAGCACCCACCAGGCGCGCTGCCCCACCAGCTCCCCACCGCCTCTTTCCCGCTGTCCCGCAAGCAGCGCTGGGCCTCACCGAGCGCCTCCACGTCCAGCTTGATGGCATGCTTGAGCTGCTTGTAGTCAATGTAGCTGTGGGTCCAGCAGCGGCCCGCTTCGGCCAGCAGCCGCTTGCCAAACTGAGGGAGTGGGCGGGGGTGGGCGGCCGGGTGGTGAGCGGGCAAGGAGCGTTGCGGAGCGCCAGCAAGCGGGCGGGGGCAAGCGTCGCGAGTGGCTGGGCTGGTTCGAGGGCCGGGTGATCAAATTTGACAACAGTTCCAACTGGTGAATATGCCACGCGGACGTGGGTATCAGCCGCCGCGGCAGCGCCGGGTCGCTCCCTCCGCTGGACCTCCTCACCTTCATGGCGCGTCAAGAAGCAGCGGGAACGCCTCCGCGGCTCGCACAGGGGGGTTGCGGAGCTGCAAGGGGCGGGTGCTAGGCGGGTTGAGTCAGGTGGCCGCTCCATGCAAGGGGAGCAGCCTGGCAAGCCCTGCGACGCTGCCGCGGGCTGTCTAGCACCGGAGGCTCACCTACCGCGCCTTGTGAGGCGTCCAGCTGCAACGATCGCTGCGGTCCACGCGTGCGTGAGGTTGCGCCGCCGCTTCAGCTTCGCCGCCGGGGGCTGTGGAGTGCAGAAAGCATGGTTGCAGGGCCTCGGGGACTTGAAAACATCCAAATCAGCGGGCCCTGAATATGCCGAGATGCCATTGGCGCAGCGTGCGTCTCGTGCGGCGGGTGGCGGGCACGAGGAGCGGTCATTGGCCTTTCCAGATGTACCCATGCAGCTCCTGGACCATGTGGGAGAAGAGACCGTTCACCCACAGGCTGGCGGGATGCAGAGGCTGGCTGGCAGCGAATTGTAGTCGACGGCAGCTGCGCACGCACGGTCGGCGTCGAACACGAGCAGCTGCGAGCAACGTTGGCCCATGGCACGCTGCATCATCTGAAAGCTGCACCGTCCTCTGCATGTATCACTGTGTTCCCATGAGGTACTGCGGCGAGCAGGCCGCCCCAACAGAGGAGGCGAACGGCGGCGTGCTGTGGCGTGAACTGCCAGATGGCACCCTGGTACATGCGCAGTTTGGCATCCTATTTGATTGCGATCGGCTCCATCATTTGATTGCGATCGCCTCTCCAGGGCCCCGCCATGCCCCACTGCCGGCGTTAGCCCCCAACCAACATGGCCACCTTTCGCGGCAGCAGGCGAGGGCGCAGCAGCGGCAGTGGAGGGCGACCCGGCCGCCGCTTCCTGACGATCGCCGTGTCCGCCTTTGTGGGCGTCAACCTGTTCCTGCTGCTGCGGGGCTCTGGCCGGGCGCCCTCCCAGCTCTCTGACGGCGTGGCTGCTGGGGAGGGATCGCACAGGTGCGTCCAGGCAGGGCTGGATGATGCGCGGTGCTCGGCTGGGCCCTGCCGCCGCCTCTCCCGTCCTGCCGCTTAACCCGCTCGCCCTATGCGGTGCCTGCCTGCTTCTCCCCCTCACTGCATGCCTCCTCCGCCGTTGCTGCAGGTACAGGCAGACCGAGGAGCACGACGAAGCAGCGGTGGCAGACCAGGCCGCCATCCTCACGGCGGGAGCAACGGGGGAGGCGGGCAAGCAGCAGCAGGGCGGCGCCGCAGACGGCACGGAGCAGTGCCACACCGAGGAGCACGCCGAGTACGATGGGGAGACTGTGGTGCAGTGGGGGGACAAAAATTACAAGGAGTCGGCGGCGGCCTGCTGCGCGGCGTGCCAGGCGGCCACGCAGGGCGCCAAGCGGTGCAACGTGTGGGTGTACTGCTCGGCGGCCGACGGCTGCGGCACGGGGCGAGCCCACAGGGAGTGCTGGCTGAAGCACAGCAAGGGGCTGGACCCCACCAAGCCCAGCGGCCGCCGCGGGCCGGGTGCGCGGCTGCTCAGGGGAGGGGTGTATGCGTGAGTGTGTGTGTGTGTGTGCGTGTGTGTCAGGGACCCCGTGGCAGTCGACCATGCCGTTGCGTGCTGGACTGTGGCTGCCTGTCGCTGGCTGCCGCTTCCTCCGAGCAACCTGCTGCGCTGCCCACGGGGTGTGGCGCGGCCATACTGATCAGCCATGCTGCGCTGCGCTGCGCTGTGCCATGCTGTGCTGCAGGCATCGGCTGGACCTCTGGCGCCATCTATACTGAAGAGGAGCGGCTGGCGGCGGTCAGCCGGGTGCAGGCAGTGGCCAACCAGGAGCAGGCCTACCTCGACGCCCTCCGCAACAACGAGACCCTGCCGGTGCGCCTGCATGAGCTGGCGCCATGCCGGCGCACCGCTGGCGCACCGCCGGTGCACCGCTGACCCCGAGACGGGGACCCTGCTGTGTGTTGCATCCAAGGCATCCCTGGCGCCGGTGCTGTGCCCAAATGTTCTATCCTCTGCCTCAACGCTTCTCTTCCTCCGGGCGGTCTGCCTTCTTAATTTCTTTCCTCCCCACCCACAGATGGTCTGGCTGGATGTGGAGATCAAGGGCAAGCCGGTGGGGCGCATCGAGATGGTGCTCTTCTCCCACATCAGCCCCAGAGCCGCAGAGAACATGCGGTGAGGCGCGCCGGGCTGCGCTGGGCTGCGCTGCCGGGCTCTGCTGTCCGGGCAGCGGCGTGCCGTGCTGGGTGGCATGCGCTGGGCTGGGCTGCTGCGCTCGCCATGCCCTGAGGTGGCCGCCAGCCTGTCCGCCGGGCTGGACTGCCCACGCTTCAGCTGTGCATCATCCCACACGCTCCCACACATGCCGCTGCTCTCCCCACCCACCACCCCGCAGGCAGCTGTGCACGGGCGAGTCGGGTGTGGTGCCCACTGAGCCTGCGGGGAAGGAGGGCGCTGGCAAGGCGCGGCACATCAAGGGCGCCTACTTCTATCGAATCATCGACCAGGCAAGCCGTTTCTCATGGTGGTGGTGTCTCTGTGTATGTGTGGTGATTGGCGGCAATGCGTTTGGTGCAGGGCGTCCGCCGGTGGCGCCTGCTGCCAGGTGCTGTCCAGCTGGCGAGTGCCACCCTCAGCAACTGTACCATGTTTTTTTCCCGCCTGCTGCAGTTTATTGACCAGACGGGGGTGGAGACTGAGTCGGTGTTTGGCGGGCAGGTGGGCCCCTCGTGCCCTGAGTTGCAGTGTGGCGCATCGCGGACCTCTGTGCCCCTGGACTGGAGCCGGCTTGATTCTTTTGACTGACTTCCGCCGACCCAACGCTATGCTGTGCTATGCTGTGCTGTTCTGTGCTGTGATATGCAGTGTACTGTGTACTGTGTACTGTGCTGTGCTGCAGTTCAAGGACGACCCAGGCGGCCTGGCGCTGAAGCACGAGCACAAGGGCCTGCTGTCAATGGTGCGCCCTGGGGCAGGCACGGGTGCTACCACATTTCTCTGTGATTGTGGTTGCAGCAGCAGGGGCGGCACAGGCGCCACTGCCGGCAGAGCTGTTGACCAAGCTGCCGGCGTGCTTCGTTGTCGTCACCTGCCCTCGGTGGCTGTGTCTGTCAGTAGCAGGCGGCTGCATGGCGGCTGCGAGCGGGCACCAGCTGCGGCACTGAGGATAGCAAGTTGCCCCCCGCCCTTGTGTGTGTGTGTGTGTGCAGGCCAACATGGGCCACGACACCAACACCGCCCACTTCAGCATCATGATGGGACCTGCCCCCCACCTGGACGGCTCCTACACCATCTTTGGTGGGTGCCCCCTGGTCTCCTCTGCTGGCTTGAACTTCCACACCACAAACAAGCGCCCACGCTGACACCTCGTCTCTCCGCACCCCTCCCCTTGCCCCTGATTGCTACCCCCTGCAGGCCAGGTAGTGTCTGGTTTTGATGTGGTGGATGCCATCAACGCCTTGTCTAAGGGAAAGAAGGACAATACGGCCACGGCAGAGGATGGCGCCCGCATCGTCGACTCGGGGCAGATACGCAAGGGCACCATCGTGCCAGACCTCACCTTGGGGCTACGGCGATGACGGCGGCCGGCAAACTGCGGCGTGGTGTGGCGGCGCAGGAGCTGTGCGCGTACACGAGGCCCGCTGCAATTGTATGCCATTTCATTTTCCTGTCACGTGTTGTGCATTGCCACAGAATGCCTCTGTATCTGCCATGTAATGTGGCAGCGGATCAGAGGGCGCGTGCGCCTTGAAGCACAGTCTGGCAGCCGGTTGTTTACCTGCTGGCAGCCTCTCCAATCAATGCGTGCACCAGTCATGAAAAGTTACAAAAAGTAACAACAGTTGGCAGTACAGGCTGCACAGGCTGCGTGCTACTGTACATGCAAGGGGAGTTCAAATCGGAAAGCGAGGCCAGCTGCCGGGGCGGCTCTCTGATGGTGCTCGCCGCTGCAGCTGGCAGTACAGCCTCCTGCGAAGTACAGTTAGGCAGTACTGTCGGCCTGTTTCTCCGGCGCTACCTCATGTGCAGCAGCAGCATGCCGGGGCTCTCAATGTAGTGACGCCAGCAACGGGCAAAGCCCGCCAGAGTGGCGCCATCCACCACCCTGCACAGCCAGCGGGGCAGCGCAGCATACAGCGGTGTGTGGCATATACCACAGCAGCAGGCGCGCAGCCCAGCCCCAGCCCCAGCTCAGCAGCACCATCTCAGCCAGCCCTGCTGCCCACCTGTGGTCTGCTCCCAGGGAGAGGTTGATGATGGAGGCCGGCACCACAGTCTTGCCGTCGGCCGCGAAGCGGGGCAGGCGCTGCACCGAGCCCACCGCCATGATGGCCACCTGCAACGCGTGGAGGGAGTGTGGGTGGCGTGGGTGGTTTGGGTGGTGTGGGCGGCGAGCATCGCCCCCACTTCCATATGTGGGGACAAGGGTGCCGGCGACAGTACAGCCGCACAGGCTGCCAGGCAGGCAGCCAGCGCTTGGCGCTCGGCCGGCCCGCACATCGGCCTGTGCAGTGCCAAGGAGGCGAGCAGGCACTGCACTTGGCGGCGGGTGGGCCACCCACCTCTGGCGGGTTGACCAGGGGGGTGGCGTAGGTGCCGCCGATGGCGCCGATGTTGGACACTGAGAAGGTGCCGCCGGTGATGTCGTCCACGCCCAGCTTGTTGGCGGCGGCGGCAGCCTGCAGGCGTGACAGCTCCATAGCCAGCTCCAGCACCGTCTTGTCCTGCACAGAATGTGAAGAAAAACGAAACAGGGAGGGGGGAGTATGGGTGAGTGGGCAGGTGAGTGGGCAGGTGGGTAGGTGGGGGTGGGTGGTGCCTGGAGATGTGAGTCCGTGCCGCCTCCGCACGCCTCCTCGACTCCCCCGCCCCCTGCTCCCCCTGCGCGACCCCTCTGCCACCCCGCCACCGTGCCACACCTGGACATCCTTGATGTTGGGCACGGCCAGGCCGTGGGGCGTGGCCATGGCGACCCCCAGGTTGGCCCGCCGGTGCTGCAGCACGGCGGCTTGGTCAGGCGTGAGGCTGGCGTTGACGTTGGGGAACTCGCGCAGTGCCAGCGCCGCCGCCTGCACCGGGCATGCGTGGCAAGCGGGGAAGCAAGCGGGGTGGCGGAGTCACATTTCTGAGGGCAGCAAGCAGCGGGGCGCTGCGCTCCTGATACTACGGCTGGCGCAAATTTGAGAAGACGGCAGCGCTTCAGGCTGAGGCACCTTGAGGAAGAAAGGCATGTAGGTGAGCTTGGTGCCGTTGAGCGCGGGGTCCTGCTTCAGCCGCTGCCGCAGCTCCACGAGCGCATCCATCTGCGTGCGGCGGCATCGGCGGGCGGCGGTTAGGTGATGCGGGCTGTGTTTACATGTGCGTTACATGCGTGGTAGGGGCATTGACACGGCAGGGGTAGCACAGCAGCAGCGGGGGCATCCCCTAGCGCGGCTGCCCGACAGACCCCTAACAATAAAACCACACACACACACACACACACATGGCGGCTGCGCTGCTTGCCTGCACTTCGTCGCAGTAGTGGAAGTGCGGCACCTGGCCTGCCGCCGTCATGCTCTTCACCATGGCCTGCAGGGCGGCAGCAGGAAGGAGGCGAGGCAAGCTGAGCAGGCGTTGAGGCCTGTGAGCAGTTGCGGGGTCAGCCGAAAGTCCAGGACACATCCGCCGCAGCAAGATGACCAGCTTGCGAGCAGCCGCAGCATCACGGACAAGGTGGCCGGTAGCTTGCGGTACCAGAATTGTGCGGCGCCACCATACCTTGCGGTACCCTCGCAGTGGCACCACCAGCGGCGCCAGCACCAGCTCTGCCGCCGCCTTGGCCGCCGCGGCCGCCTCGGGAGTGGGGTATGAAGGGTGCGGGTGGGGGTGCGTGGGCTGCGCAATGTGCGCCGAGGCTGGCGGCACACCGGCCACAGTGGCCTCCTCTGCGGGGGCCGCGCCGAGGGAGAGGGGGAGGGCAGAGGAAAGGGTGGGGGAGTGGCAGAAGGGCAGGCAGGGCGCGGCGGGGCGTCACCACCTTTCAATCCCGGCTGCGCTGCCCCAGCTGCTGCGCCCGCCACCCAAGCAATGCCTGCCCCACAATGCACGGCAGCCGGCGGCGGCGCCGGAATGAAGCCGCAACGGCAGCAGCACCGCCGGCGCCACCGGCCGCCGCGCACACCTGTGGTGGGCACGCTGGCGGCCTCGCCGATCGTGCCGGGCCCGGCCGAGCTCAGGGCATCCAGGTATGCCAGCACATCGCCCTTCGTGATCCGCCCGCCGGGGCCCGTCCCCTTGACCTGGACCGGGCGACAGATGCAGGCGTGTGCGGCACGCAGCAGAGGAAACCATAGTGCCGGTATGGCCGAGCGGGCGCCGGGCACTGGAGGGACGCATGAGAAGAAGCAGGCAGGCAGGCAGGCAGGCAGGCAGGCGGGCGGGCAGGCAGGCAGGCAAGCGGGCGGGCAGGCAGGCAGGCAGGCATACATGCCGGCAGACAGCAGGCACGCAGGAAGACGAGCAGGCGAGCCGTTTGGCAGGCGGGCAAAAGAAACCAGCAGGCAGGCAGCAGGAGGGGCCACCTGCTCCAGCGGGATGCTCTTCTCCCGCGCTATGGCCCGCACCGCGGGCGAGGTGAGCACTCGGTCCGCCACCTCGTCGCCGCCGATGCTGCCGCTGGTGCTGGGGCGCAGCGCCTCGCGCCTGCCTGCACCGCGTGCCATGGTGGCGCGGCGCAGCATCGGGCGCTGATTCAGGGCAGGCTCGTCGAGCGTGTGCATGCAGCCGCTGATGGCAGGGCATGCCCGGCACAAGGCGCCATCAGCACAGCAGCCCAGAGCCCAGAGCAAAACGAACCCGTGTGGGGCGCATGCTGCGCAGCTCCCGCGGCGCTTGCGGCCTCTTCTAGCGGCGGGGAGTGAAGCTCCAGCGGCTCGCCGCCCTTGGCTAGGATGTCTGCCAGCACGTCCCCCACCTGCGGGCAGAGGGGGCATCAGGGGCAGCAGAGGCAGACGTTGCGGGAGGCGGGAGTGCCCACAGCGGTGTCGCCAGTACCTGCGCTTTCTTGGGGAGGGGATGAGGACGCAAATGGGCCAGCAGCAGTGCGTTTTATTGGGTATTGGCGATGAGGACGCGGAGGCGTGCAGTTCGTGCCAGCCCGCTGCCACCAGCCTCACACACCTGCACTATGTCGCCGGGAGCATGGTGCAGCTTCTTGACCGTCCCTGCAGCGGCAGGCACAAGGCGGGGTGCTGAGCGGCAGCAGGCCCGCCCTTCTGGAACGCCCAACTGAGCAGCAGCGGGCTCTGCACCCGGTGTGGCAGCAGCAAGGCCGGCATCCGGCAGGCGCACGGCCGGGCAGCGGCAGCCCCAGCTAGCACCAAGATGCAGCCAGGCGGGCAGCCGTGGGAGCTGGCCAGTCAGGCAGGCAGGCCAGCCGGCCGGCCGGCAGGCAGCAGGCCCACCCGCGTAGGGGGAAGTGATGTCGACTGACGCCTTGTCGTGCTGCACCTGGCACACCTGCCCAAACTCATCCACCTCGTCCCCCTCCGCCACAAACCACTGCACCAGCTCGCACTCCTTGATGCCCTCCCCCAGCTGGGCCAGGCTGCAGCAGGGGGCAGGGCGGCGGTGTGCGGCAGGGGGCGGGTGAGGCGAGCGGGGTGCAGCGAAGTGGCGGCGGCGGCAGGCAAGGTCGGGCATGCCGGTGCATGGACGGATGCTCAACTGGCACACCCGCTGCTTCTCTGCCACCCCACATGCGCAGAAGACGAATGGAATTGATGTGCAGACTGATTGCTAATGCAGGACTAGGCTGACGGCATACGAGCGGCCATAGCCACTGGCAAACTGAGCGCGGGCATGTTGGCGGGCCCCAGCGCCCACTGACTTGAACTGCTTCAAGGGTCCTTGATGTAGTGCAGGCGCCGTGGCAAAGGCCCTGGCCGCCCGGCCGGGAAGCGATCCGGCGGCCAAGAGGCCGCTGCGACACGCTGCTGCCGTCTGCTGAAATGCTGCATAGGTGCCAGCAGCGGCCTGGAAGCACGGGGGAGCCTCCAAGCACCGTCCTGCCGCCTGCTGAGTGTGCAACGCGCCCAGAAGACGCCCCAAGCGTGCTGCCCCCTTCATGGGTGCCGCAGCGCGTCGATCAGGTGGTCCAGAATGCGACCCGGCTCCATTTGATCGACGACGTGCGGTGCCCCGTCACAGCAGCCCTGCTGAGCGGCCAATCACAGACCGCATGTAGCCTTCCTGCAGTCACCAATCAGGGCAGCACGGCAGAGCAGGCAGCAGCGCCCAGCAGCCATTCCCTAGCCGCTCTTGATCGGTGAGTCGCCTCTGGGGGGCGCTGGAAGGCTGCCAGGCTTCGCCCCAAGGCACGCCGAGCGGCAAATTGCAGCGCACAGCGCGCCGGGCAGCAGCCGCCAAGCTGCCCTGCTGCCGCCGCCCGGCCGCCACCCGACTGCTGCCTGCTTGCAGGGCGAGGCGCGGGCGGCGCCATGGGCTGCATGACCTTCTACATCTTCAACCGCAAGGGGCGCTGCCAGTACTACCACGAATGGCAGCGGCTCAAGCCGGTGAGGCAGGGCGCAGGCAGCCAGGAGGAGGACTTCAAGCTGATGTTTGGCCTGTGCTGGTCCATGCGCGCACTGGCCACAGCCATAGACCCCAAAAGGTGAGCCTGCGGTGGGTGGGGTGGCGTGGGGGCTCAGCCGGCGGGGCTCAGCAGTGACAGGGGTGGTGGCAGGTGGGCGCGGCGATCGCCAGGCTTCGTGCACGCACACCCCAACCACCATGCTGCCTCTCCGTGCGCCTGCTGCGCCTGTGCGCCGCCCTCGCGCAGCCCCAGCATGAAGCAGATGGGCGCGCCGATGCGCATCGGGGACGGCTGCTCCTTCAATTCCATCAAGACCTCCTCCTTCAAGCTGCAGTTTCTAGAGTCGCCCTCTGGCCTCAAGGCAAGCTGGCGCATGCCTGGCAGCGGCGGGCAGCCATGCTGGGGAGCTGGATGTGTGCGGCGGGGTGCCTGGTGGGGGCTGTGATTCTGCAGGCGGAGCGGCAGGGTCCGGGGCAGCAGAGTTTGTTTCCAGTCCCATCCTCAGCCTCGCAGCCTCGCTCCGCACCCATGCACATTCCCCACCCCGCCCACCCTCCCGCCTCCCCCATGCCCACAGTTTGTGCTGACGACAGACCCCAGCGTGGGCAGCATGGTGGAGCAGCTGCAGTACATTTATGCCTCTCTGTTTGTGGAATTGGTGGTCAAGAACCCGCTCTACACCCCTGGGGAGCCCTTCCTGTGAGCCCCGCCGCTTCTGCATTGCTCCTGTTGCTGCCTCGCTCCCGCCGGCTCCACGGCGGTTGCTGTCGCAACGCTGCCGCTTGTGGGGCAACCGCTTGTGCTTGTGACGACTCCGGTGCTGCCCACGCTTGCAGGTTTGAGCCCTTTTCGGCGGCGCTGAACAAGTACATGCGGGCGCTGGGTCTGCTGTCGTGATGTCGAGCGGTCGGATCCTGATGAAACGCATTGGCTTGCATTGCTTCTTCTAACGCCGCACCTTGGCACTGTCTGCACTGCCTATTTCCTGCTCCTCTCCCATTCTTTTCTTCCGCTCCCGACCTGCTCGACATGACCTGCACTCGCTCGCTCCTCCCACTGCTCTGCTCTTTGATTACTTCTGACCTTTAAGACGCCACTGGCATTGTGACGGCATGTTGCCTGTTGCTGCCAACAAGATGCGGCGTGCCGTTTTTTAGCGCACCAGGCAGCCCTTGTTTATCGGGCGGCTGCCCCCCGCGCTGCAGGCAGTTGCCGCCGCCGGTGCGCTGCCCCCACCTGTCCCAGAACAACTGAGCGGGCGGGCGGCGGCGGGCAGCAAACGAGAGGAGCGAACACGGCGTCCCTGCAGCGCGCTCCCCTCGCTCCCTGCATGCTACCACCTTGTTCAACCCAATCGACCCCATGTGCACCTCTGTGGCGCCCGTTGGAAGCGGGCCGCGTGAGTACTGCCCGTAAACTTACAGTTGGAAGGCGAAGGGAATTGCTCAAGGGCCTCTGTGGGCCACACATCCCTCCACAGTGCCTGTGCCCAGCATGTGGGCTGCCCTGGTGTCCAGGCCGGTGTCAATCTGGCCTGTGGCAGGCAATATGCCTGCGCAGGCCCCTGACAGGTGTAGGTCAAACTGTGTGATGCTGTGATCCATGCTGCTGCCAGTGCCCTGCCAATGCATGGGACCTGGGAACAGCAATGAGCCAGTAGCAACACTCCAGCCTGTTTTTGCACCATCAAGGGCGGGTGGGTGGGGTGAAAAAACAGTGCTCTCTCACCCCAGGGGACCCAGACACCCTGGCAGTCCTCTGAGCAATGCTGGAGCATGCCGTTCTCTACGGCGCTTGTACTTGCGTACTGCTGCTAAGCTGCAGCAGCAAGCTACCGAGGGAATATGGTTGGCGTTAGGTGTGCTGTGGACTCACAAACTCCTGAAAACCACACCCTCTTCTGTGCATGCTGAATGCTGCAAGCTTCAGCTTGACATGCTGACATGCTCTGCTGGCAGGGCTCTGCTCGCCCAGAACCACCCTCCCAGCCACCCTGCCAATCTACTCGGCTGGTGGAGGCTCTTTGATGCAGAGCAGCTGGGGTGCCTTTGCCAGACGTCAAGCCAAACTACTGGGCGAGGGAGCTGTGCCAGCAAGGCATGGAGAGCAAGACCAACTTCCATTTTTGTCAATCAAGCGCCGCTCCGGTTGCTTCCTTCCATGCCTGCAGATGCTGCCAGCTTGGAGGGCTTGGCAGCCAGGCAGTCTGGCCACTGCAGCTGGGCAGGCACTGGTGCTGGCACCTTTGGCAGCAGCTGCTGGCCTGGGGGGCAGGCAGCTGGTGTCTGCTGCGTGGGCAGGCCATGGCAGGGCAAGAGCAGCATCCCCAGTTGTGGCTGCTCCCGCAACAATGCTGAGAGCTGCAGCCAGGCCAGCACCAGCTGCATCGACAGAGGCTCAGCCAGTGTTCAACGGGCCAGCTGGTAGCTCAAGGCAGCATGGCTGGAGCATCATGGCGGCAGAACGCCAGCAGGCTAGCATGGCCCCACACCTCATGTTGCAGCAGGCCATGGGCTCCACGATCGTGGGACGTGCCATGCACATCAGCACGCCAGCTAGCCAACGCATTGGGCTGGCGCAGGCTTCGCAGCAGTGCGCATCAGCCATGGCAGAGGTGGCCAACGTGCAACGGCAGGCTCATGTGGACAGCACAGTGAAGGCTCGGCAGCGGATAGCAGCTCAGTTTCAGCTATTCTTGAGCAAGCAGCCGCCTGGGCTGGGTGCAAATCTGCTGACGGCAGGACCTGAGCACGTGTTGTGGTTCTTTCAGCAAGAATACACCAAGCAGAACACCGGTGAGCAGCTGTTGCACCTACAGGAGAGCGTCACTGCTGTAGGAGAGTTATTGCACAGTTATTGCACAGAATGCTCGACACAGTCGTCTCCTTCACTCTCTCAGAGGCGCTAGCAGTGGCAGCGGCCGTCGGCCTGTTTCTGGGCCTGTTCTCGGCAGCAGCTCTCCTCGTGCTCCTGCGATGGGTGGAGAGGCGCCTGGTAGAGGCGCGGCCCGGCGGCGAAAGCCGCCCCCCGCGGCATGCCGAACCCAGTGTTCGGCACGTGCCGCTCGAGGGCAGCTTGCAGCCTGCGCGGGACCCAGCGCCACCCACAGGCGAGCAGACAGCTGAGATTGCGGTGATAGGGCTCCCCGGCTTGGCAGCGGAGGCTGCCGCTGGATGCCTTCCCACACACGAGCATGCCTGCAGACCCCTTTGCGGCTGGCTGCACGCCTTCTACAGCATGTCAGTCAGCGGCGCGCGGGTGCAGCGGGTGTGGATCACGCGGAATGGGCGGATGGCGCTTGAGGCGTCGCTGCCCGCCGCCATGGCTGCTACTGTGCTGGCTGGCAGCAAGCGGCTCAAGGGTACTTGGATCACCCTTGGGCCCGTCCTCAGCCCCAGCGAGCTGCGCGAACAGGAGGCGCGCAGGCAGCAGCAGCCACAGCCCACCCCGGTCCCGCCCCAGCCTGGCCGACAGCGCCGTGCGCAGCGCTCCGCCCCGCCAGCAGCCGCTAACGCGGCAGCACGGAGGCGCGGCAGCAGCAGCCGCCGCCGCCGCTTGCCGGCGGCACGGTGCAGCAGCAGCAGCAGCAACCACCACCGCTGTCCGACGGCAGCAGGAGGGAGCAGCAGTAGCAGCAGCCACCGCCGCCGCCTGACGGCGGCGACGAGCAGCCACCACGTGCGCACACCACCCCTGCCGCGGCCCCCCACCCGCAGCAGCCGGCCCCCACCGTGTCACCGCCCTCACCACCGGCGGCACAGTGGCCGCCCTTGGCCAGTGCCGTGGTTCCTTTAGCGGCGGCCATGCCTGCTGCCCCGCCTAACCCCAAGTCGCCTGCGGCAGACGAGCGGCCCGAATCCTCAACTGCGCGGCGGCGACGCCAGCGGCGGGAGACGGCGGCAAGGCACCAGGCGGAGGCCGCCACCTCCACACCCTCATCTCGTGCCCCATCCCCAGTCGAGGTGGCCCCTGGGCACGTCTTGACGGCCCTGCCCAGGCGGTCGGCTCGGCTGGCCCGGGGTTGAGCTTATCCGGCGCTTCATTAAATGCCTCTTGCTATATGTATGCAGATGCCCACCGTGTGTATTGCTTGGGGCATGCAGCTTATAATTTTGGGTGGGTTTTGTATTTGCTGCAATGTTGTGTACAGCTCTACCCCCCACACCTGAATCTCTTCCCTCATGTGTTTTGTGTTGGTGCATACTTTTCCAGCTGTTTGGCACCACAGCTGGGCCCGTAGCATTCATTTGCTCCTTATGGGTGTAACAGACAGACTGACTGAGACTGAGGAGAGCAACAGGCACCCGTGCTATGCCCCGGGCGCAGCATGATGATTGTGGTGGCAGCAACAGACGCCACTCTGTCAGTGTCCTGATTGTTGGCAATACTCCTCTGCTGTGCAGGGACAATCCTTCCTGGCGGGGAGGAGGTTGCAGCACCCAGCAGTGTCGGTGGCATGATGTCCCATCTGTCCACAACCTTCAACCTCCTGGGCAGGCAGGGCCCCTGGGATGCTGAAGCTCGCACTGGGAACCCGACCCAGAGCTCTGCTGTGCAGCTGTACAAGCGTGGCTACGGGCGCATGCTGCGATCCAAGGGCTACCAGGAGACGTCTGCCATCCCTTGGGAGGAAGACGATGTGCATGCTATCATCGACCAACTGGTGGGAGAGGCAGATGAGCTGTGGCAGGAGGCAGCAGAACTGCAGGCAGCAGGGCAGCAACATGCTGGCCTATCTACCACCGTCAGGGCTCTGTGCCTTGAGCGTGATGCTACAGCAGCCTGCTATCTGTGGGAGGGGCTGCAGCGGGGCAAGGAAGGGGGAGCCCTTGCCCGCTCAGACTTCAAGGACGAGCATGGCCAGGAGGTGCTGGGCCGCCTGTCCTTCTTGCTCAGTTGCCTTCCAGAGGGGGTGAAGGTGAGGCAGTTGCTGCAGGGAGGCAGCAGCTGGGTCCTCAACGGGTAGCTGCAGCCCTGGGCCCCTCGACAGGTTATTGCAGGCCTGTCACCTTCCTGTGCAAATTTGCACTGAGTGTCTCTGCTGCTGCTGTGTGAGCCGTCGCCCGCAGGTGGACGTGTACCCCAACGGGATCAAGCAACAGCCACTGGTGCGTGTGGACGAGCCCGTCTGCTTTGAGGTCGACTCCTCTCTGCAACTGAAGTTCCAGTTCATCCCTCGGCTGGAGCGGCTGCTGCGGCTTGGGGAGGCTGCTCAAAAAGAGTATCCTCACAAGCAGCTGGCAGTGACCAAATACATCTTTCGGCCGAGCAGCAGATACAAGGACGAGTTTGAGGACAAGCCCTGGTCTACAAGTGAGTGGCAGCTGGGAGTAGCAGTAGGAGGAGCAACAACGTTGAACCAAACGTCCATGACAGCCTGGTGTTGCCATGAGCTTGAGTCGGTGTAGCAGTTTCAGTGTCTCATGCTAGCTGCCCGCTCATCCTGTTGCTGCCACCTTGCTCATGCTGGTGGGATCTATGGTCGGATCTTGGAGGCAGCCGACAGGGCTGGCGTGTTCAAGGGCCAGACCCTGCACAGCTTCAGGCGTGGAGGCATGCAGCACCGCAAGTACTTGCTGGGAGAGCCGACAGAGGACATCCAACGGCAGGCCCACATCAAGACGCCGTCAGTGGCTGACCGCTATCTCAGCCGCAATCGGCACAGCTTGCGGCTGGCCAAGCAGGCCACCAAGTATCGGAACGGCCGACCCGTGGCAGCCAGAATGCTGGCATTGTTGCAGGAAGAGGGTCTGCTCCCTGTTGAAGGGTCTGCTGGCACTGAAGAGCCGACCAGCAGAGACTGCTGAGCTCCATGCTTTGAATGTTGGGCAGCTGTGTCAGTACTCAATCATTGCACTTGATTGATTGTGCAAGAACATGTAAGCACCGTCAGCAAGATTTAGCAAGTCACAGCGGCCGCAGAAAGCATGCCAGCTGGGCTCGGCAGCAGAGCTGTCATGGTGCCGTCGTTCAGCAGAGCAGCAGGCACAAGGCAAGCTGGGCTCAGCAACCAAGCCGAGCTATGCTGTAGCTCAGGCAGAGCTGGAATTCTGGTCTCAGCAACAGTGCCGAGCTGTGTTGCAGCTAATGTTGAGCAGGCATGCACAAGGCAGGCTGCACCCAGCAGCCAAGTCAAGCTGTGTTGCAGCTCATGCAGAGCAGGCATGCACAAGGCAGGCTGAGCCCAGTAGCCGAGCCGAGCCGTGCTGCTGCTCAGGCAGAGCAGGCATGCTCGGCTCGGCAGCAGAGCTGCTTTGTGTTGCTGCTTCGACAACATCAGAGCATGTGCTGCTGCTCAGGCAGAGCATGCAGGCACATGGCGAGCTGGGCTCAGCATTAGGGCCGAGATGTGCTGCAGCTCATGCAGAGCTAGCAGGGCACACTGCAAGCTGTGCCCAGCAGCCGAGCAGAGCTGTGCTGCAACTCAGGCAGGGCAAGCAGGCACATGGCCAGCTGGGCTCAGCAACATGGTCGAGCTGCGTTGCAGCTCATGCAGAGCAGGCATGCACAAGGCAAGCTGTGCCCAGCCGCCGAGCAGAGCATGTGCTGCAACTCAGGCAGAGCAAGCATGCTCGGCTCAGCAACATAACTGCTTTGTGTTGCTGCTTCAACAACATCAGAGCATGTGCTGCAGGTCTGGCAGAGCAGGCAAGCACAAGGCAAGCTGTGCCCAGCAGCCGAGCAGAGCTGTGCTGCAGCTCAGGCAGAGCAGGCAGGCACATGGCCAGCTGGGCTCAGCAACATGGTCGAGCTGCGTTGCAGCTCATGCAGAGCAGGCATGCACAAGGCAAGCTGTGCCCAGCCGCCGAGCAGAGCATGTGCTGCAACTCAGGCAGAGCAAGCATGCTCGGCTCAGCAACATAACTGCTTTGTGTTGCTGCTTCAACAACATCAGAGCATGTGCTGCAGGTCTGGCAGAGCAGGCAAGCACAAGGCAAGCTGTGCCCAGCTGTCGAGCAGAGCTGTGCTGCAGCTCATGTAGAGCTGGCATGCTCGGCTCAGCAGCAGAGCTGCTTTGTGTTGCTGCTTCAACAACCTCAGAGCATGTGCTGCAACTCAGACAGAGCAGGCAGGAACATGGCGAGCTGGGCTCAACAGCAGGACCGAGCTGTGTTGCAGCTCATACAGAGCTGGCAGGGCACACTGCAAGTTGTGCCCAGCAGCCGAGCAGAGCTGTGCTGCTGCTCAGGCAGAGCTGCTTTGTGTTGCTGCTTCAACAACATCAGAGCATGTGCTGATGCTCAGGCAGAGCAGGCTTGCTCGGCTCGGCAGCAGAGCTGCTTTGTGTTGATAAGCCAACAACAGCAGAGCATGTGTTGCAGCTCATGCAGAGCAGGCACGTACAAGGCAAGTTGTGCCCAGCAGCCAAGTAGAGTTGTGTTGCAGCTCAAGCAGAGCAGGCAGGGCACACTGCATGCTGAGTTCAGCAACCGAGCCGAGATGTGCTGCAGCTCATACAGAGCAGGCATGCTCGGCTCAGCAGCAGCCATGGCTGCTTTGTGTTGCTGCTTAAACAACGGCAGAGCATGTGCTGCAGCTCATGCAGAGCAGGCATGCACAAGGCAAGCTGTGCCCAGCAGCCGAGCAGAGTTGTGTTGCAGCTCAGGCAGAGCAAGCATGCACATGGCCAGCTGGGCTCAGCAACATGGTCGAGCTGCGTTGCAGCTCATGCAGAGCAGGCAGGCACAAGGCAAGTTGTGCCCAGCCGCCGAGCAGAGCTGTGTTGCAGCTCAGGCAGAGCTGCTTTGTGTTGCTGCTTCAACAACATCAGGGCATGTACTGCTGCTCAGGCAGAGCATGCAGGGACATGTCGAGCTGGGCTCAGCATTAGGGCCGAGCTGTGCTGCACCTCAGGCAGTAAGCCCACACAAGCAAGCAAGCAAGCAGTGTGACAGCAGAACAGCTCCCCTGACACCCCAACTCCCAATTCCCAACAAATTTACTTTTTCGAACGATCAAATACATCGAAGCACCTGGCAGATACTTTCGTATCTGCAGGTGGACATTTTCCACCCACCTGTCGGAAGTTTTCCCTCGATCTGTTCGATATTTTCCCGACAGCTGGCCGAAGGCCAGACTATATAAGGAGCCTCGACGCTCTGCTACGATCATCTTTCCCTTTGCTTCTGAGCCTGAGTGCTGAGTGCCACCCGGGCACCTGCCTTTGTAAACACAAACGCGTACCAGGGCTGCAAGGGAGATCCTGCCGCTGCGACCAGCGCTCGGCAGTCAACTCAGTGATCGCAGGTAAGGCCTCGCCCTCGCACAAAGACAAAACAGGCCGGCCGGAACCCTCGGGGCCCGCGCCGCCATTTTGCTGGCGCCGAATCAGGGAAAGTGCGTGGTTGCTGTGCCCTGCACGACCCCAAATTAAGTGCGAGAAGCGATCGCCTACCTTCCGCGACGAATTCCGCCGACTGTGAGTGCGCCGCCACATGGCCACCACAGCGCCCGCAGCAGAGGCGCGAGCGCCGCTGCAAGCTTCATTTAACCTACAAGTAGCCGTCGAGAAATTCACCGGCTCCATGAAGGAGAACCCAGAGACCTTCATCAAGACAATTGAGAGCGCCAAGACCCTCTACGGCTGGTCTGACCAGCAGACCCTCGCCTACGCCGGCCTCAGCCTGAAGGG